GTCTCAGTGGCTCCTTGCTGCTGCTGCTGCTGCTGCTGCTGCGTTGCTTCCATTTATGCTGATTTAAACGCTGAAGTTGCATCTTTAAACGCAACTGGACTCTTAAGCATGCAAAAGCTGCTCCACTGTCTGTACAAAAGTCGAAAACCTTGACAAGTTTTCGTTTTTAGTTTTCTGTTTCGCACCTGCCGGGCCGCGCAGCTACTGGAATTGACAAAACAGCAGCAGCAGCAGCAGCAGCAGCAGCAGCAGCAGCAGCAGCAGACGCTGCACTGGCTCTGCACAGTCTGCCGGGCAGAAGACAAACGCAAAAACGCAACAAAAAAAGAAATGATTTCCAGTGCATTTGCTGCAGCAGCACTGGCAGTACACCCCAGCGCGACACTGCAGCCAATCTGTACAAACTTGAACACTGGAAGTGGAAAGCGCGGCGATCTGGTCCGCCGCAGCTTCGTGAACAAAAGCACTTGTCACAAATATATTATAAACAGAAAAACAAGTATTTTAGATGCGGAATATATTGGTAAACTGTTGAAGTCCCATCATATTGTCTAGGGAAGCAGCTGGCTGCTGCTGCCACTGCCGGCGGAAGCTGCAACAAATTCCCAAGAAAGAAGCGGCTCTTCAAGAATCCACAAGACGCTTATGCAAAAAAAGATGTTTCAGAATCAACCAGCTTCTTAACTCCTCCCACAGACTCCAAAATGCTGTCCACTGCGGTGTCCATCACCAGGCCTGCGCGTTTCGCATGCAAGATGCAAACTTGAATGGGACAATGAATTCGAAATCACTTTGTTTCACTCAGAAAAAAAGCAAAAATGAATTCAAAATCACCACATTATTAGTTCGAAACTGAATGAGAACAAACTGAACTCAAAAACATCAGGTTGTAGTAGATGGAAACTCTGATCAGAGCCGGAATGAGTTCAGAATTGCAACTTTATGAATGCAAACGCGGCAAACTGAATCCAACTGGAAACCAATAAACATTCGGAGCTTTTAAGTCACTAATGAAAACAGAAAAGAGAAAAAAGAATTAAATCGAGTTTGAAATCACCGCAAGAGCATTTCACGCAAAGTGCAGGGGTCGCATATTCTGGGCTGTGGG